TGCAGGTAATAAAACCTAGGCGGAGCTGAATTTTATGTTCTTCTTTACACAGCAGTATTTTGTGAATGCTTTTTGCTACAATGATACACTAAATATCCCCCAAAAAGCTCTTCTTCTCTTCTTTCCGAAACCATTTGAATTTTGTCTCTAGTAGAAATGGTAACCGAGTCAAGGTCATTTGAAAGAGCTTGTAAAATGGGCCCTCCGCCAGGCCTATTGTAAATAAAGGGTTAACATAAGGTGCTTCCATGATACAGTTGGCATCTCAGCCAACAAAATAAATAAATACATACATAAAAAAAATATTTTCATGAGATCTAGACTTTAATATGAAAAGGCTTTGTGAGAACTGAGCAGCTTCAGGAAACCAAATGAATTTTCAGCGACTGATGAAATTCAGTTCACCAAATTTCAGTGATTTATTTTTCATTTAATTTTATTGTACATCACTGTGCTCTGAAGATGTGCAAATGCAGTCAGAATGACATATAAAGCCAACAATCTATCACATTATTACTGTTACGACTCATACAAAATTCAAAATTATACCATCCAACCATTCTCTTCTGCTTGCTCACACATACACATACACTCAGTCAAACGCACCGAGACGAAGGGCCGTTCTTGCTGCAGCTGGTGTAGATGACTGGCTCATCGTCATAGAAACTGCCAAGGGCAAGTTTCTGCCTGATGGACTCTCTCTCATTCCTCTGGGCCTGCCACAAACAGAGAAACGTGGAAGCACAAAGAATATTAACACAGATGAGGCTCCTGTGCTGCCGTCTCTCTCGGCTTGATTTGCCAAGTGGGTCGCTTATTGACAAGGAAGACTGATGAAATTCATAAACAAATGCATAAATTCAGGTAATACCAAAATGAGAGGACACTCTCATTTCTTCTAATCAACTATAAATCCTGTTACACCCGATTAAGAGGGAAGATGTGATGGATTCACATCTACCGTCTACTTTTGATTCCATGTATGAATATGAGTGTTAAAACATTCATTATCTGCTGCTACTACCATCTGACAGCCTGTCCAGGATTTCTCATCTAATGCGTGTAAACAGTAGTATTGAAATAGATGTATAGAAAATGATTAAACGAATGAATCTGGCAGATGCAGTCCTCATTAACACTTCAGAGAAACGTACTGTTTCAACTCTGAGAGACAGTGCACATATTTTTTTTTCCCACAGGCCAGGCCCAGAAAAGACTGAAGAATGAAACAAGTAATAGGTGTATCTATCCAGTTATGTCAGTGCATCTGAATGCATTTTTATTAAAGATCTTTGTTCATTACAATCATAGGATTGTAGTGACGGTGAATCATCCATAAATGGCTTCTTTTACTAATTTATGCATCACATTTCATCATCAAAACAGCAGGTACTATCTAAACTGGTTAAAAAAATTCCATTGCATTCTTTTAGTGCTGCTGATTCAAAATGCCGTGTCACTGTGGGCTGGTGTTTTACAGCTTCCTCTTCCTTTGTGACTAGTTTCTCTTGACCGACGTCCCATTTTTCATACTTTTTGTTTCACTTTAATGACATTGGATCTTTATGTTCTGCCCCCTTTCCCCCATCTGTTTTTCTCATTCTTTTCCCCTTTAACCTTTTGAGCTTCCACACCCGAGCCTTCTATCTCGTTTCCTTTTATTTCACTTCATCTCAGCTTTCAGTCTCTAGCTCCCCCTTTGAACCGATTTCATTTTTTTCCCTTGGATCCTCACAACATGATTTTCTATTCTGGCATCAAAGGGAAAGTATTTATATATGATGGATTTGAGCCAAAAACATCTGCTAAGCTGCCTGAGTTTGTGTGTGCTCTTTGGAACCACACATATATTGAATAACACTTCTAAAATTAGGCACGTTTCTCTTATGTGTCAGCGTTTGTACTCAAAATAGCTGCAAAACTGATACATACACATACACACACCACTACACCCTCTTTTTTTGTGACGCATGCTTAGATGAGGATGTGACGTAAAAGCATAAATGAGTTCATTGCCATCATTCTCCAAACCAACGCTGGCCCCTGCTCACCCACTTCAGACAAACAGATGCCCTCCTTACTCACAAACTGACTACACGAGCACATGCACCCCCACAAGCCAAAAATTGTACCCCTTATAAAGAATGTACATGGTATGACAAATGCAAATGTAGAACGATTTTAGTTCCTATTCAAACAAAAGACAGTATAACATACAATGATATAGATATCAATGATCTGAGATGGAAAATTGTGTCAAATCTGACTGAACAAATGCAGGAGCATACATGTTACACAGATATATTCGAGCGCAACCACATACGAACACGCCCACTCCCTTTTCCACTCATCCCATACGGCTGATTTATCTACAGCATCACACCCATGATGGATACCTATCATGTATACCTTTAAATATCTTGTTAAATGCTACACACCCATCAGAATCACACACTAAATGCAAGCAAATACAAATCCACACACCTGGTAAATGCGTTTCTCTTGGTGCACCATCCTTCAGCGCATCGTACTAAAACAGCCGTCCTGCCCTCCTCTACACTGCAGTGAAACTAGACCCAGGAGACCCTCTCTTATACCGCAGCTCCGTGCAGGAGAGCGAGGGTGGGAGGAAGGGATGACAGAGCGGGGAGGGGAGAGGCAGCAGATAGGGGAGGGTGGGGAGACGTGGGAGCAAGAGAGGAAGGAGTGGGCAGCGACGGAAGCAGAGGAGAGAGAAATCAAGGGAGGGGAGAGAAGAAGCTGCTCAGTGCTGCCACTGCTTTCCTGATCTGTTATCTGTACCTCCATCTTCCTCTATTTTCTCTCTCTTGCCTTCTCCTCTTCACCTTTCCTTTACTGGAAGGAGAGGGACAAATAATAAATCTGTGTTTCTGATAAATGGAGGCAGACATTTTGGATCTATAAAAAAAATGGCAGTTGGATTAGGCTAGAAGGCCTAATGGATGAGAATGCAACAAAATACTTAGAGGCCATAGCTGGTTCTCTAATAGATCAACATCTGATTATTGGCCTTACACAGCGTAGTAGATTTATTATATTTGTTTTGTCTTCTGGAGGAATTTCCTCCAGCCACATCCCAGATCAAAGGTACAAGTGTAATGAGCCGTAAGAGGCATGAGGAAGCACATGACGCATTTGTCCACATGTGCATAAACAACCAGTGTTGCACACACACACACACACACACACACAGGCTTGCAGTTAGTTCCCACAGTGCTGTGTCACAGTGCAGTTGATTAAATGCCTAAAGACTGAGTCATCTTCCTTCTTTCGTCAACATCAAGCCAAATATTCTATTCTCAGTCTCTCCATGCCAGGAATTTTGCTTATGGAAAATATGCTGTATATATATATATATATATATATATATATGCTGCATGCATATAAAACAGTTACAGAACTGCATATTGCAAATATGGCAATAAACACAGCCTGTTGTTGCACTTGTCTTTTACCCAAATTTATTTTTTTCCCTATAGCCCATTCCTTTTTATTTGGAGAAGTCTCTTCAACAGCTACAAGAGACGTAGCCATCAGAACAAGTGTCCTCATTTATTTCCATGTGTGGATCAAACAAGAGACACAGTGAATCACTCACAGAGATGCTGGACAGCCTGGTTCTTGCTCCACTGTAACAGTGATCTGCCTGTGGTGCAAAGATATCCTTAAGCTCCTCTGCCCAGCTGCGACTGTTTACCATGCATCCTAATCTTCCTCCCTGATGCTGTGCATCTTCCCACCAGTGGCACATCGTGGCCTTTCTAGTGAATACGTCTCCCTCCTCTTCCTCATCCATGTCCACATCATAGTCCTCCATAAAGATACAAAGTAGAGTAGGCGGAGCAAACTTTAGAGATGGAGGAGGAGCTGAGAGATCTGGTCGGGAATCTAGCCAGACATAAACAGGAGAGGAATACAGATCTTTGACCAAAATTAGTTGTTTAAACGACGGCTGTTCCAGTCTATTTAATGCACGGTATCTTAATGTTTCCTGTGGCAGCATGGATAGAAAAAAAATAGATTATATAACAAAATGAGATTTAAAAAAAATGTAGAATTTCAGTCTCTGGTTTTAATCCTTTCATTAAGTTCATTTTAACAAAGCCACAAAACAAATCTATAGCCTGATACACACATCCAAATTCTTTATCACTAGTAAAAAGAAAGCAAAATCCTGTGTACCACATAAAACGCTCACCTTGGCTAAAGAGATGCAACCACTTCTTTAAATGATTGAATAATTTAACCAGCTGCAGCGAGACACATACGCAGTGTTGCATGAATGATCTACTGGATTTCTTGTTCTGGAGCTCTGGACCCTCCAAGTAGCGTTTAGAAAATGAAGTGGCTGAACGACAATGAGCGTGTCTGGATTCAGAGTCCAGCATTACACATCTCTCAGTTGTCACGTGTGGTTGAGTTTCAGCGAAGTGTGTACACACAGTCACGGGGTGCCCAAGGGGGAGAGCACTGTGAAAATATATAGGAGCAGACAGAATAGGGGCTATGTGCAGTGGGTGAATTGGATTTATGCAAAGACAAGAAAAAAAGTGTTCCATAAGAACTAAAGGTAGCCCTCTAGATACTTTCTTTATTCATTGTCTTAGTATAAGCTCTAACAAGTATTGAGGGGGCTTGCTATAAATAGGTCAAACATTTGAACAGTAATTCAGTTTGGTGTTTTAGAAAGGGGTGTACCATGACAACCAACATGCTTAGGAACTGTGCATTTCACCATCATTAAATGACCAGTCCTTTTCACTTGAATGAAGAGAGTGTAGTCTTTTGTAGTGGAAAAAAACCAAACAAAACAACAACAAAAAACCCACATACATGAGAACAAGTTCACAGTAGAAAAATCTTTAATTTTCATCATCATCAGGCACCATGAGAAAACAGGATTTTCTTAGAACAATTTAACCACTACCAAATTCACACCAACAAGAAACCCTAAGCACTTCGCTCTGCTTAATTCCCAGTCAGGGACCTCCTTGACCTCTGTACTGAGGAAACCTGGACGCAGTTTGCAAAGGGAAGCCTGAATGTGTTTGGAAACTAGATTTAAAACCTGCTTTGGCCATGTACTTCTGGTCATCAGGGAGTTTCTTAGCCTTGTATACAACATATGGCTCAAAGGGGAGCTTGTCAAATGGAACATATGGTGCTATAGGGGCTGCAGAGGTTTCTGGGCTGACAGGGCTTGGGTAACTCAGTTTCACAGGGGAAGCTGGGTAACCTGGCATAGCAACTGGGGTAAATTGAGACCAAGTAGGTTGCTTTGGCAAATTTGGTTTTTGTTGGTATGAAGGCTTTCCATAGAAATATTCAGTCTCCGGGTTGTAGTAGTAAACCTGAGTTTTGTCAGGGATCATTTGCAACTGTTGGACTGGTGGAAGGTAGTGCATATTAGGAAAATGTGGCGGGTAATAGGCAGGGCTCTTGGAAGGAATTTTGTTGCCGCTAGGTCTAACAGTCATAGGTGGTGCCACAGTGGTTGTAGCTGGTGGCACAGTGGTCTTCACTGGGAGAAAGTAGGAGTAATAAAAGTTATATGGGTAGTACAGAGGGTATGAATATCCAGGTGGCTTTGTGTGAGGGCGAGTGGTAGTTGGGTTAGTCTTAGCACCTGGTGCCATCATATGCATGTAATAGTTATACCAGTAGGAATTATATAGTTTAGGATAATAGGGCTGTTTTGCTTGTCGTCTTGAGCGATGGAAGTGCCATGGCCTGAGAGAGAAAGGAAATTTCCTGGACTGTTGAACTGGGCAGATGAATTTAACTGCCATCCCCCGCCAATTCATTGGCAACACATATCTTCCATTCTGAAACAAAGAAAACCCAACATGTTTTGGCCTGGGGTTTTTTTTTTGGCAGATTTAGCATCAAGCAGTTATACCAACTCTAAGTTTGAAGAGTTCTTTTTCAAAACTACCAAAAGAAAATATGGAATTCATCAAATAGTGCAGATATGAAAACCACATTTCATCAAGTCCAGGTCCTTTTAAAATAATAAAAAAGCATACCCCTGTTAGCACACTGCAGGCATTATAAGGGACATTTAAAACTAGTCCCAGTGCGTTCTGCTGCATTGAGAAACCACAGCTTTCAGGCACGTGCTTCAGTGGTAAGGGTTGTGCATTTTCTGAGAGAAGGAGAAAAAAAATGCCAGTGTTCAATGACAGTTTTTAAAAGACAGTTTTGCATACTTATAATATTTTTTCTACCTATGTGCAGTTGTAGATCAGCAGCACCAGGCCCCATGGCCTTCAGCTTCATCTTGTTATCACTACAGTATAGTGAAGAGTTTAATTGACTCCATGCTGCTTCATTAGCAGTGTCATTCTTCAGCTTTGATCTACTCTCTGCTTTAGGAAGAAAGATATCACAACACAAAGTTAACTGCAACAACCTTTGCCTCAAGTGTACCGAGCATATCAAATTAGCAAAAACAGCCAAGTATTACCTGTGATGCTTGACTGATGCAAGTCAACTTGCAGCAATGCATGTCCTGTGGCAGCTGCAGAAGAAGCAGATCCTGACTGGGAGTTAAGCCTTTTTCCATTAAAGAGAATGCTTCCCTTTCTTCCATCTTTCACTGCAGTCTCACTAGATCCCTCACGTTTAACTTTTTTGCCCAGCACTTGCAAGTTTTAACAAAGGGCTAAAGAGCACAGGAGTAATGTGACTGCCACAGTTTGACATGCTCTACATCTCCCACTTCTATCACCTCCCATAGTGGTGTCACACAGTGCAGATGGAAAGCACTTCACAGCGATGCAGAACAACCAAATGACAGCTTCTGATGCTGTCTGCAATTTGTCACCAGCTAATCAACACAGTTACAGTTTGCACCTGTGGCCTCATTAAGCGCCTTTGGCAGCTGACTCTAGTGTTGCCCTGGGATAAGTAGAACATTTTTTATGGAGCATGAAATGCGTGGAATTCTATAGTCATCATAACTCATGAGTATGCAGACAAGATTATCCTATTTAGATATACTGTAGACAAGTGCAGGCTCTGTCTCTTGTTAAACTAAAATTATTCTTCTTTGGAACATAAGTGAATTGAATCAAGAAAAATTCAAATAAGTGTAGCTAGGTTATTCCAATGAGCTTAAGAAACTCTTCTTTGACTCGATTAATAATCAAATAAAAGTTCTCAGTTTCAAGAATTACAGTAGTAAACACCATCTAACTGTAGCCTGAACACTGAATGACTGAGCAGAGAAGAGTTTTATAAGATCCTGTAAAAGAAAAAGAACTGGAAAAAAAAAATGAAATGCAGCAGTAGTGTAGTATTCGCTTCTCCATTTAGTAACATTTTTACACCATATATGCATTTGTCAGAATGCATGCAGAAGTATGAAACCAGAAGTACAAACTAGTAATTTCATCATGGTGCCACTTTATAAATGCCTACCCAATAAAATGCTGCAATAAAGCAGAAAAAATGCTCTGCTGACTTTTTCCTAAAATATCTGGACAAATTTACTTTGTAGCAAATAACCAAACCACAAATGTGATTTAAAAAATTCATACAAAAATTTACATCTCATAATATGTGTTGTTTTTCATCAATTGCAGGTTAACAAGTTAAAAGAAAAATGAAATCACTTTGTAATTTGCATTACTAAAATTAATATCTGAATAAACCTGTATATGCAAAATAGTGTTCCGTTAAAACACTTGTTTGCAGAGCTTGGCAAGCTATTACAAACAGCTAACTGAAAGAAAGGATGGGCTCAAACAACTCCAAGAAAAAAATTATAAATCCAATGAGTGGCCTAAGATGGTGGTTATGGTAAATGGACTGGTTTAGTGTATTTCAACTCTTCTTGAGCACTTTATACAATATGCCTCATTCACACCCGCCCATTCGAGCAGTTTTTATTCTAAGCTTAAGTGCCATCTCACATTGCACTCCAATGGATGCATGATACTTATGCTGGAATATTTGGCATGCAGACTGGAGCAGCCAGGGACTGAACTACCAACTTCTCAATTGTTGGATGACCACCTTTGTCTCCTAAGCAACAGTGACCCTGGTTATTTCTGATAATGTGTATTGACAAATTGTGTTAGTCCTGTAACGACAGTCCATTTTCTGCTTTGACTAAGTTGGAACAGCATGACAGAACATTGCTTTTTATCAGTGAAAAGCAAGCTTCACAGTTCAGGCCACATAAGCCCAGCATAGTGCAACAAAATAGTGACTTTCCAACATTACATATCCACCCACCCTTTGTTTGGTGGGTGGTTGCAGACAACGCCCAAATATCATCAAGTCTGCCTATTAATTCCAATCACCTTAGCACTAAATGCTCATAACATTTATGATTCTTGAGTTTGAATCTGTGGTGCTGATTGAGTTGAGCTGTTGAACAAAGAATTTCAAACCAAGAACTGGTGTTATTTAAAGCCTTTATTACATTTTCATCAAACTATGACGAAAGGGAGGGATTGGGCATTAACTGAACTTGTTGATGGAAGTGTGGAAAATTGTGAGACTGAGCTTGAGGCAGCAGAGTGTCTGTGCTTCCGCTTTCCAAGTCTGGATTAGGATTGCTTGGATATTGAGGAACAAATTGAGGGAAAGGCACAACATATTGAGGGAGTACGGTGTCCGAGCTTCCAGTAGCAGCCGCCAAATCTGCATTAGGGTTGTTCGGATATTGTGAAAGAGGGACAAACTGAGGGAAGATAGGATACTGGGAGAGGAAATTCACATTGGGTGGAAGCTGCAGTGAGGGGGGATAAAAGTCAGCGTTAGTTGTGGTTTGAGTATCTGCTGGCACAGGTAATGGAAAGGGCCAAAGAAAAGGTGGACCAACTGGTTTGTAACCAGGTAAGACAAACTCTGGAGGAATGAAGGATTCTGGTTTTGCAGTGGTGGTTGGGGGTGCTCTTGTGGCTTGAAGTGGGGGATAAAAGTAAGGATAGAGGGGGGAAAAGGGTGGAGGGTATTGCTGGAATGGGGGCATTTCTGACTGCTTAATGGGTTCTGCAGGATCCGATACGGCAACTGAAGGATATGGATAGTGCATTTGTTGTGGAAAGAAAAAGGGTTGAGGAACATGGGAATACAATTGGTCTGGATTTTTGCTAGTGTAGGGCATCTGGGAGTTTGATGCGGGGTCCTGAGGGGTTTGAGAGGCAGTCGTCATAAGAGCTGGTGCTGCAGGTTTGGAACACCAAAGGGAGATTGGAATACCCTGCCACCGCATTGGAAGCACATAACTGCCACCCTTTAAAACAAGGAGGAATATCAGGACTTGCGTGTTACCAGTCAAGGAGTCAAAGTTATTTACCCCCTTTTAAAAGAGCCATAATTGTTTGAGATCACAATATTAAGTGTTTATGTTTAGCCAAGAGACAGTTCCAAACCCATGACTAGCAAAGTAAAGCCTCGGCCATCTAAGGAAGATTTCGCATTATTTTAATTTACTTTTGATAATTTAAAAAAATAATCCTCAGACTAGCCAATTTTAACAGCAGGCTGCCAATTATTCAAATATAGCATAAGACTTAATTTCAGTTAAAATTACCTCTTGAACCACACTGCAGCCATTATAGGGAACCATCATAACAAGTGACAGTAAGTTCCTCTGCATGTTGTAGCCACAGTTGGGAGGGACCTGGCTCAGAGGTACTGGCGGTGCACTTGCTATGGGGAAAAAAACAGTTTACATGACGATGCAACCAAATGGACACTTTACAAAAAAAAGAAAAGAAAGAAAGTGAGCCCTGCTTGCTTACCTTGGTCCACTGCTAGCTCTGACGCTCGTCTTCCCACTACCCTGAACTTCATCCGATCCCCACCGCACAGCAGCAAAGGTACCATGCGCCTCCATGCTGCTTCTCTGGAACTGGCGTCATACATTTGGCCTTTTGACCAGCCTGACGTGGGGAAAAAAAAAAAAAAAATCAAAATCAAAAAGAGCAAGTTTTGCAGTTGTGCACAGAGGCATAGAGCTTTTAAATAAAAATCTAAATGTAAGTACATCTCCAAATAAGCACGCTTTTCCTGCAGCCAGTGTCCTTACATAAACTGTGGACCTGAAGCTTACCTATAAAATCTGCTTGATAAGATTCCTCCACGGATGAGTTTGTAGAGGCTTTCCCATATTTAACCTCTGACTCAAGGCCTGAGCCTTTCCCGACAGATTTTCCGAATACGACTTTCCCCTTTCGAGCACCTAACGCATCGGCCTCTTTGCGCCCTCCTCGTCTCTCTGTTTTCGTTAGTCGGTAACAGTCTATTGCTTGCACTAAATGGCACATCAGAATAACAGCTACAGCACAACAAACGGAGGCACGTCTCCCTTTTTCTCTACGCATCGTTTAGCTGTGCGTGTCTCCTAGAAATGTTAAGAGCTGGAAGGCGAGACTTCGCCACGGCTATTTGTGCGGCAGCAAACAAGCCAGGTACCGCCACAGCCAATCAGAAGCCGCTGCGGGGACATCAACGGATTCTCTAATTACCTGGCACTATATGCACCTGAGTAATGTCTGGTTAACATTTTATTCTTAACGGGATTTGTGTGTGTGTGTGTGTGTGTGTGTGTGTGTGTGTGTGTGTGTGTGTGTGACAGAGAGAGAGAGAGAGAGAGAGAGTTTAATTAAGACACACAGTAATAATTAATGAGGTAAACTAAGAAAAATAAAAGCACAACCGCTGCATCTAAAAAATGGTATTAATGTGGTATGTGTTCAGAGACCTCTGCTGCTCATAAATGGAAAGCGCAAAAACGATTTCGATTACCGAAGCGAATTTGTTTTGTCAGCTGCAGTTTCCAAGCTGACCAATGAAAGCTGGGGATCAACCTCTTACGTGCTCAGAAAATATCAAGAATTTGAACATCTACGATGCCATGGCAACCACCAAAGCTCCACCTGCCGGTGAAGCTGCAGAAAGGCTGTTAAATGAACCACTGAGGTGGGATTATTTCCTGCCTCCAAATCCTTTGTAAACACTAGATTACCATATTTACACATTACAATAATTGTGGAAAGGTTTTTTTTTTTTAAAATCCGGGGTCTTACCATAGATTTTACTGTTTATTAGAAATTTATGTCAGAACGCTTATGAATGTTAGCATAACCAGTCCGATAGCAGCACAGATGAGGTCTGCTGTTATGTTTACACATTACCATACAGCTATTTCATCTCCATGGTTACTAACAACATCGGCTAGTCTGAAGCATCGCTCAATACTTGACTACCACTGGGGTAAGTACGTGGTGTTTTATTGTCGTGCTGTCTTCAGCATATCTTCATAGACTATGTATAGAGGTGTTTGTTTTCACCTACTGTCAGCTTTATCTGTCTTTTTTCCCTCCTTAAATGATGACTGCTTTTATATATGTAAAAATATATTAGAAGTATTATACTTGAGTGTGTATGTGTTAGGGATAAGTTTTGATTCCTGGTAGCACATGAGACTAGCTCATTGAGCTGAGGGTGGATTGTTTTATCTTGGGATAAATACACTAAACACAGTCAAGACAAAAAGATGAAGTCCAGCTTTTCCTGCAAGTCTGTTCAAAGTACTTTTTTTTTTTTCAAACAAAATATCTCCTACATGTACATTGACTGGTCACTTTATTAGATTGGTGGACCTTCTTTTGGCTTCAAAACTGCCTTGACTCTTCTTGGCACAGAGACAACAAGGTGCTGGAATCATTCCTCGGATAATTTGGTCCATGTTGATATGATAGCATCACACAGTTGCTGCAGATTTGTCAGCTGAATCCCTGATTGCACCACATCCCAAAGGGCCTCTACTGGACTAAATCACCCTTTATAACCATTCTATTGTTCAGTTTGAACTTCAGCAGGTTATCTTGACCACATCCACATTGGCTGGTTAGATGTAAGCAGTTGAACAGGAATACCTAATGAAGTGGCCAGTGAGTGTATATTTATAAATACATACCAACACTGTTAACAGTTCTCTTATTCAGACTTCTGTGTTTCATTAAATGGCACTGCTACATTAGCTCGTGATCTACTCCATGTTCCAGACGACCATATAAGACCTTGATTGGTTTCACATGGTCATATAATAATCTTGATATTATTATATGGATTAATATCTCACTCTTTCTAAAAATCATTGATTGTTTCCTTTTATTTGTCATTTTTTCTCCTTGTCTGGTAAGAGGATGCGATGCAGTTGCCCAAAACCTGTCAGTGACCCACCCACCTATTGTATCAGAGCTGCGGGAGTTCTGAGGTACAATCGTGAGTCTGACAATCACAGGATGAATTTAACAAGTTTTCCCCAAAGGGTAAAAAAAAATTAAAAGTCAAATTTCTCCTTACTTAAGGAAGGAAGCAAGGTGTTACAGATAATGTTACTCTAATAAAAAAAAATGTTATTCAGTCCCAGACAGAATACCCAGCACAATGTGAGTACTGTGGGGAAAAGGCTCATCCTCTACTTGTTCTAACATGGGTACATAATCCTGAGGTGAGGCAGATTGTAAATGGTCAAGTCAAAATCCCTAAATTCACCTATTGTACTACATGACCTCCTTACCCCCTCCTCTGTGTCCATCACAGACCCACTTCTGTTGTGCTCAGCGGCAGCAGCTATGTCAAATGCTGGTGAAGCAGAGACTTTTGTTTGAGGAGAGATCTAACCTAACCTTTGGTAATCTAACTTCCAAAGACCACATGGAAATTCTGTACCACAAATCCAGACAGAGTGAAGCTTACCGCATGTTTATGAAAGGCTTTCTGAGAAAACCTAGGTACACATTTGCATGATTTTGCATGAAAATGCCTGTAAACAGAATGAAAGTAGGAACAGAAATATGACTCAAATAATGTGCAAAATTAATATGAGTAGCACTTATTTTGTATTTTTTCATAGAATACAATCAAGAGAATCTACAATCTACAGTGGTTACCCAGGGAAGACCTGTGAGTAGTTAGCAACATTCACACTGGAAGCCTGAAACTTTTGCATACAGTCATAATAAACAGACAGACAGACAGACAGGTAACTGCATCTTGATTTTATAAAGCTCTGTGAAACTAACGTAGTCTATTTTGCTATTGTTTAGCTGTCTCTGCACCAGGGGTCTTCAGGTTAAGACTCTCACATGCTCCAGGAAAGGGGACAACGTATTGCAGTAGCACAAGTGAAAAATGCTTAAAAATGGAAGAGGAGGAGGTGTTGCTCCCTTTTTATGATTGGAAACCATTTCAGTTTGGCATATGTAATCATCAGGTAACATGCAAATGAATATTACTTCTATTTTTCATGACCCACAGAGCTTGTACAGAGCTTGTTTTTTCTTATTATATTGTAAATATATGACGTTTTGTTCTTGCCAACGCAGAGGTTTCATTTATGTTTGAATAGAGGCCTCATACAGCTGCATTACACACTAACACAATGCCCCCATGTGGTCACACTGTGTCTACATAATACATTAAACCCAAAACCTTCACAAATGCAAGACTTTGTTATTACGCTAAATAGTATTATTATTTATAAAGAGAAACTACTCAATTTTAGTATCGTAAACTAGTAAAGCTGGGTAAAAAGGCCAAAAGACGATAAAAATCACCCTGCAGAGGCTGACGAGTTTAGACATTGAAAGAGAACTTGAATGTAGAGGTAAATTTGTAATAAAGCAACCCTCCCACTTCTTTCAAACTCCACACTATTAGGTTATGATAAGAATAATAATTGTTTTTTAAAAATAATTTTTCAAAAGTCCATGTAATTGTGTGCAAAATAGAATTTCTAGACATGATAATTTCTTCTTTTGAATGTTATCTGTATTCACAGGTGGGGTCTGAAGTTTTACAGAAATTTTATTCCAGTGGCATCAAATTCCTTACCATGTTCCCTGATGGCTCTGCTCAGGTCTTGTATCCTCTCAGATTTGATCAGATTGATCATGAGACTTTGCGGAAGTGATTTAAAAATGCACAATTTAAACATTAAAGAAATCCAGGGAATTCCAGTTGAATTGAATATCCTCTATAGTCAGTGTTCCTGTCCTTACCAGTTTGATTACAGTTATCCCTCCGGCCTCTTGGCTGTACTTATCGTGGTCACTGAACACAATGGAAGAGTTTGTATAGTGTATGACGACGTCAGTGCCCCTAATCAACAAATCAGAGCTATATTCCAGTCTGATGGCAGAGCGACATGCTATCACACCAATGGAAACATATGGTAGATAGCATTTTTTTTTAATATTTACCATTTATTAAATATTGCCTCTTTAAATTATATTATTAGCCCTATAGTTGTTGTCGTCATAGAGGTTGCTGTCAAAAAATGTTTTTGTTTATGGGGTGTAAATGTAATATTTAAAATTTGCACAGGTGAGCATAAATACATAATGGCAATGAGCTACAGTCCATTTATATGCATGTATTTTTCTGTACTCGCATTTCAGGCTGTCCTTAAACATGTCTGGTGGCCGATGCTTAAACAATGCAGGCAACGTAACTTGTAAGTGGAGCTGGGGTACTCCCACGCCCCTGCAGCCCATCTTTCTGTCCCTCAACAAAACTGTTGGAGTTCGAGTCCTGGGGAACAAACAAGTGTTTGTTTCCTTCTTGGCGGGCAGGCAACAGGCTAAGTTCAGTGTGGGTACCTGCTGTGCTCAGGTAAGACTGAAGCACAGACAACTAGTCTGCACATTGTGAACTGGCTATTTTATATAATTAAACACATGACAAATAAAACATAACAAGGGTTAAAATGGGAAAGAAAAGTTGGAAAATATGTTCATTTTGAATATGACACTGGAATAAGTCTAAAAGTTTGGATATGGGTATGCATTACTACCAGTTTTCTGATGTCTTTCTTTATGAAAGCAAATATATTTTGCCTTTCAAACATTTAACTACAGAGGGTTTAAATGATTTGCAAAATGACTGTAACAAATGCTAAAGTGCTTCATTAACGTGAAAAATCTTTGATTAGGGTGAATACGTGCATACTTCAGGCTCATCGGTCTCTAAAGACGAGCTGCTGGCATTGGCAGCCAAAATCAGGATCCACGCAGCAATTCAGCATCTTCACCAGTACCTGACGACGCCCTTACATCCCCAAAAACTTAATACTACACCAGCCCATCACTTACAGGTTACTGCTCAAAGGCTCCTGAAAGTCAGTGATGATGTAATGATGAATGACAGTGACAAAGCCTTCATCCTCAAGTGCCTTCAGGATTGTTGATGTATATGTAATATTGGAACATGATGACAGTGACTGAAAAAACCCCCCCACAAAAAAACCCCAAAAAAACTGGAAAAACATTTTGCATGTCTCATTTTTTGACTTTAGTTACCAGAAAACTATATCACCTAAAGAAAAAAAACAAAAAACATTTCATGTACTAGCACCTGAGTGCCAGCATGTCGATATTTTAATATATAGAGATAATCTTTATAGCATGCTTGGCTGAATCAGTATTTTCTCATTTTTAAGGCCAGACTTACCTTTATTTTAAATTCAATTTAAATGGAGCCCAGTTTTACAAAGAGAATATCAAGTAAAGGTGTTATACAATTAACCCAATAAATGACTTTCATTACTCATTGTCTATAAAAATCATCTGTTGCACAATAACCACTTTATTTCTTTTAGGCTGGTCTTGTAGTCATTTTTTTTTTTTTAATTTCTCCTCTTTTGCCTCGTAATATAAAAATCAGTGTAGAGCTTCCCGAAGACTTAATAATCAGGTTGTTACTCCAGATATTTCATACCATTGCATAGTATACCCACAGTAAACTATAAGCCTGATGACAACAGATGCGTTAGTATGTCAACTCAACACCACACCGCAGTTTCAGAGTTAAATAGTTAACAATATGTTTTATTAATCTTCTTAGTTTCTTCCAAGGTTTGTAAATATAAAAATTCAGAAATCATACCAACAGGTTCCCAATGTTATTGTCACAACAGTGATGACAGACTTTTAAGTGCTGCAAATTTCTACACGGTAAACTACTTGATAAACAAATTTCTACATATGGCTCAGTGGTACAAATGACACATTGTTTCTTTTTTCCCACAGAGATCAAATTATATTCAAATAGTTAAAGACTACAAGAACCAATGTTAACTCTCTCCTTATGGGCTCACTAATATCACCTGGATGAACTCTGTAGTAGTATGAATAGTACAAGAAAATGACAAAATGGCCAGCACTGTTGCCATGGATCCCACTCTGGCGTCAGGGGCGGGTCATCTCTAAGGGGCGCAGTGAAGAGTGATGGGGACATCCAGTCTGTGCTAGCAGTGTTCCTGCCTTCAGCGCAGACGTTCATAAACATCACCTCACAGCCCAGTGAGAAA